ACATGATGATAAATGATGATAAATGATGATAAATGATGATAAATGATGATAAATGATGATAAATGATGATAAATGATGATAAATGATGATAAATGATGATAAATGATGATAAATGATGATACATGATGATACATGATGATAAATGATGATACATGATGATACATGATGATAAATGATGATAAATGATGATAAATGATGATAAATGATGATAAATGATGATAAATGATGATAAATGATGATAAATGATGATAAATGATGATAAATGATGATAAATGATGATAAATGATGATAAATGATGATACATGATGATACATGATGATACATGATGATAAATGATGATAAATGATGATAAATGATGATAAATGATGATAAATGATGATAAATGATGATAAATGATGATAAATGATGATAAATGATGATAAATGATGATAAATGATGATAAATGATGATAAATGATGATAAATGATGATAAATGATGATAAATGATGATAAATGATGATAAATGATGATAAATGATGATAACTGATGATAAATGATGATAAATGATGATAAATGATGATAACTGATGATAACTGATGATAACTGATGATAAATGATGATAAATGATGATAAATGATGATAAATGATGATAAATGATGATAAATGATGATAAATGATGATAAATGATGATAAATGATGATAAATGATGATAAATGATGATAAATGATGATAAATGATGATAAATGATGATAAATGATGATAAATGATGATACATGATGATAAATGATGATAAATGATGATAAATGATGATAAATGATGATACATGCACATGCATCTGAGGCATCTGTTGAATTTGTGCGGAAGATGGATGAATTTGTCAGGAATAGACCAAACATGCTGTGAATTCTTCCATGGTCCAATCATGTTCTCGCGGAATGCCCCAAGCGAGATACCTCAACCCATGGACCGATGGAAACTCAAAATGGCAACCGAAGAAAAATGGAAACTCAACATGTTCTAGCTTTTGACCACAGCTGATGGACCATTGTTTCCGCAGCTTTCTGTAGAGATGATGGGCCGTTGGCCCTGGCCGCGCAGTTTGGGCATCTGGAAGTGGTCCAGTTGCTGCGGGACATGCGCGCCATGATCCATGCCACAAACCACACTTCGGCCACGAGCCCAGCTGAAAATCAGTAGGGTCGCATTGTGTTTCCTGAAAAGGTTTGTTTTAACACGGCAAAACTAACACCTTTTGTTTTTGGTCCTACTTACCCACAGGAAAGAGAAGACCCGGAGTTCGCAAACCAAGGATTTTCATGAGAAAACAGACATTTTCATGCTTAGGAAACGTTTGTTTCATCTCCTGAAGCTCAAAACAAACTCAAACATGGCTAGTTTCAAGACTATAGTTTCCCATTCCAGAAACTGCTGTTTCACGAGATTCTTTGAGTTTCAATTGCTTTTTGTCGGCGTCGCCATATCTCCCCATAGACTGTTTTCGGATGCTTTCGGTGTGCCGCATATCACAGTGACCCATGGAACCGCATGTTTGCCTCCACATCCTCCTTGTCGGCCTCACCAAGCACCCTGCAACCCCATGTCGGCCTCGCCGTCCTTTCTGTCGTCGCCAAGCGTACAACTGCATGTCGGCCCCCGTGTTCGCCGCATGGTTTGACTCGTCACCAATGACTCGTAAGAACCAAACTTCTGAAAAAGCCACCAAAACTCAAAAGCGAACATGTTGCAGAAAGCGGAGGTAATACGGTAGTCACAAACCACAAATCTGAATGACGCGCGGCGCAGACATGGAAGTTGCGTTGAGAGAAAGCAGTCTTTCTGCAACACTTTGAAGAAATTGAAAACGTGTGGAACAATCTCAAATTTTCACAACCGCATCCTGCGTCTCCACTGCGACCAAAAGGCTGTTTGTAGCCGTTTGCCTTCTAGGGACCCCTAGAAGCAAACTAGCCTCGTCCTTCGGCCAAAGAAACCTTAGTTTCCGAAACTCGAAACTCATTAGGTTTTGTAACCTTTGTCTATCTTTGTCTTTTCCGCTCCTTTGCAAAGTTTCTTTCCCTCGACAAACCTTTCTCCTGGGCCCGGTGTCCACCGCAGAGTCGCGCCACCTTTTTGAAGGAGACCAGTCTTCATGGGGCTCAGTTCCAAGTTGGAGGTAGGCGAGACTCCTTGTTGAGTTTGTACTTTGCCTGGGATGATCTCCGATTTCCCAATGCTGTTTGATATCTCTGGAAAAGAATTTCTAGATTCTAGGTTTGATGCCCACCGGTTGTCCACAAGACAGTGTTCAAGTCGCAGAAAGGTCAACAAAATGTGCAGTTCTGTGATACAGTGTGTCACATCATGTCGCATCGCAGATTCACATTCTCAATCAGCATTTTGGTTGATTGTGGTCTGCAAGCCTCCATTGCTGTTGTTATGAGTCAAGGCAGTTCAGCTGTTTGACAATCCAAGGTCCAATTGACTCATATGATATTCATATGTGGCCACCAATTTCTGAGATCAAACCTTTTCAGATCCCATTTGACCCCATTCTTCAGACCCAAACGTTTCGCCACTTCCGATCAGAGGCTTTCGCTGGACGGACGTTGCCAAGCTTGCCATGCCGTTGGGAAGTGGCACTTGGGCTTCGGATGGAGCCTCGGATCAGAGAATTCAGTTGAAGATGACACACACTTAGCATATTGAAATCGTTTTATCGTTTTATGTGAGTTCGCTCTTTTAGGATCAGTGTTCATGTTGTTAGCAGCTGAGTGACTGGCAGGTAAACTCAGATTCGCACACGCATCCAGTTGTAGGTTGGGAATCCCTGTGCCGCTTGGATCTCAGAATCAGTAACATGTTTTTGGCTCTGAGGTCACTAGGTTCTCGGCTGATTAGGTGCTGGGTGGTACTTACTCCCAGGTACAACCTTGTGTCATAGCCGCTTCATATCTCTAAAGTTCGACTCCAGTTGACACAGTCCGAGTCCCAGTGACACAAAGGATCACAAAGCGCGAAAGCAAACGCGGCCTCTTCAGTGCGAATCAAATCGAATCAAAGGTGTGTGAGTCGGTGCTGAGTTTGCCAAACCTGTGTTATGTTTTCATGAAGGTTTCATGTGTTTATCAGGTTCGTATGTATGTTTCATGAATGTTTCGTATGATTTTCATGTTCGCACTTCAACGCTGTGGCACCGGTGAGGCCGCAGGCAGTGTCGACCCTTCGGCCGTGTACCCCAACAGGAGATCTCCCAGGACCCCGTGAGATTTTTCAGATTTGACTTCTCAAAGAAATGTTTCAAAGTACAATTTTATTAACAGCGTGGCAAATTGCATTTGGCACTGGAGCACAACATGTGCAAAGCAACATGTCCGCCATATGCAATGCAGCCGCACTTTCCATTGTTTAGCTATTTTGGCTCTTTTTCGACGCTGTGAGTGAATTGGTGTCGGACATTGTTTTTGTTCAATGTGTAACTCCAAACAAGGAAAATTGTCTTGAAATGTCGTGAAGTGTTTTGAACCACTTGAAATTACATCAAATTCTTGCACGTTTTCTTTTAATTAAATCTGACGCGCGCGGCTCGTTCACTCTTCCTGAGATTCCTAGATACCCTGTCATGCTGCAATGAGAGTAAAGCAATGGAAACGAGGCAGGATGTCTGTCAATGTCTTTGTATTGCTGTTCATTTGTTGATACCTTCGACAAGCTTGTTTGAAGCTGCTGACAAGAAAACAACCTTGACAGGCTGGGTGATCTTGGCTATAGCATGGCTTGTCTCCAGGTTTGTTGCCTCGCCCTTAGTTAGGTTTCAACGTACTGGATCGAGAGCGTGTTGCAAAGAACTTGGTGCTTGCATTCCTCCAAGGTGTGCCCATGCAGAACTTTCTACCCGCAGAAAACTTCGCAGCAACATGGTGTGGGACCTTTGCGTGCAGCGCCAAACAAGGACCACATAAAAGGAATAACAAAAAAAAGACATGTCGCGCCAAACTCTTTAAAGACATGTTGCATGTTGTGCAGCCGACGGATGAGGCACACGGCCGCCGTTGAATTCCCTTCTTTTACAGGACAACTTTACTCTGTTCAATTGTTGAAAGCGTGGGTTTCAAGTTTTCTATTCCACCCTTAACCTCTTGTTTCAAACAGCTTTGCTTTTGCTTCGCTTCAAAGATTCCCTGCAACATGTCACATGTGACATGTTTGCTCCAGACGGGTCATCTAACGCCCAGTTTTAACAGAAAGCGAAAGAAACAGAAGAAGGACAGACCTATTAGCTTTCAGAAAGACAGAAGTCATCAGAGATAAGTTCTCCTGTTGCGACAGGCTGTTCAGACTGGAGATGAAGAGAAAAACATTAAGTCCATTTGAAGAGACGTTTTTGAAGAGACGTCTTCATCCCCGTATGTCCTCATTCCCCTGTATGTCTTCATTTTTGTCCTCATTTCGCCAAAAGAACTCGTCTCCGCAGCACTCGGCACGACAGGCTGATGCCTTGACCTTGGCACGACGTCAGCTGAAACTTGCCGTGGACCAGCAAGAAATGGCAGTGGAAGACTTGCAAACTGCCAGGCAAACAGGAGATGAGCGGAAAATCAGGGAGGCGAAGGAGGACGTGAAAGAGGCGGAGGAGAAGGTGCAGAAGGCGGAGGAGAAGGTGCAGAAGGCGGAGGAAAAGGTGCAGAAGGCGAAGGAGGAAGTCCAGGAGAAGGCAGCTGCGCAGCTTCAGTGTCACACTTCTTCACAGTTCTTCAGTGCAAAAATAGATGAAAGAAGTGCGTTCACATTTCTTCGCATTCGAATGGCATTCTCAATTGTTTCCGATTTGAGCATAGAGCTGACTGTTTCCTGCAGGTGGACAGGGATGCAACAGCCTTTGCCAATGAATTGGCATCGATCGGGCAGCCAGAAGGTTTGGACGCTGGCGTGCAACTCTTCAAGCTCAACCGGTCCTTGACAGCAGACTATCGTATGAGTGGCACAGCGATGCTTTCAAGGAAGACGATTCGAGTGGCTTGGGATGCAGCCTTCGAGGAGATGGAGCAGGGTCATGCCTTGAGGGTTGCAATGGTGGGCATGCCAGGCATTGGCAAGTCCCGCTCCCTTACCTATGGCCTGTGGCGGCTGATGACAAGAGAGGTGCCTCCTGTAGTCGTCTTCGAAGCACGGCGTGGACAGAAGGTGTTCATCTTCACTTGGCAAAATAACCAGTGGGTCGTCCGCAGCGTTGCCATCAACAACTGGATACCCGCGAATTGCAAGTACTTGCAGGATGAGAGGAATTTCTACCTCATCGATGCATTTGCGCCTGAGCAGTGGGATGCAATTTTGCCTGCCAAGACCATCAAGGCATGCAGTCCGGACCGGAAGCATCACTCGGGCTTTGTCAAAGATGGTGGCATTTACGTTTATGTGGAGGCTTGGTCAGAAGCAGAGGTGGAAGCAGCTCATCCCTACATTGATGGCGCCCCAAAGCTTTCTGAAATGCTGAGGAGGTTCGAGCAAGTGGGTGGCAACCTTCGTGTGTTACTGTCCAATGTCATGGAATACGACAAGTATGTGCTACTGCAAAGGGAAGACCCAAAGAATTTGCGCGCCGTGGAACGAGCAGTGCGGGGAGATTTGGACACTCAAGGAGGGCAGATGCTGACCAGGCTTTTTACCTATTTCAGCAAAAATGGCAGGTCTTCCTGTGTTGGTTTTTGCTCCAAAGGTGCTGCAAAGATGGTGCTTGACGCTCACTATGATGACTTGATGAAGATCTGGAGCAATCCCAATGACCCGGAGG